TTCATTAGCAGCATGATCTCCTCTCATCAATCTTCGCTGCTCTTGCGCTTTTAGGGACCCAACAAGCTCTTCAAGGGTGAGCGTTGACAGATCCTTAGACTCCTCTATTGCGCACACAATGTTCTCAAAATCATCTGTTAATGATCTTAAAATTTTTTCAATAACTCGGTTTGATGAAAGACTCTCACCATTCTGATTCAGCTTGTTCACCACGGTCTCCACCTGAGTAATGAACTCGGATACGCTCTCAGACTCTTTCATCCTCATGTTTTCAAGCTCGCCCCTAAGGGTTTGAAGTCGAACTTGTTTCACCCTTTCATTTCCTTTGTTTGCTTTTTCAAGTGTATCCCATGCTACTTTGGAGGATTTTGTGTTAGCTATCTTCTCAAAGCCAGATTCGTCGACAGCTCGGTATAGTAGATACAAAGCTGCCTTGTCTTTAGCTTGAACGACCTTCAATGCGTTCAGCTGGGCATTTGAATACCCATCTGTGTTCGCCGGTTCCTCATACCCATTCTCGACCACATCCCAGTTATCTTGGGATCCGAGAAGAACCTTTATTTGTACCTTCTAGTTGTCATAGTTGGCACCTTTCGTCAACTTGGGTAGCGGGATGCCATTGGTTAGACCTGTCATTTCCTCTCAAGTGTTTGCACTCAACTCACACACCTCACAAAGTTATGAGTTGCTCTTCTCTCTTTCTCAGACGCTCACCTCACACACAAGCTCTTATACCAATTTGTTGGTATTTTAAAGGGTTTTGTGTAGATGTATTTCTGATATATTATGTGTGTATCTTTTTATTCATGTACTCTATGTATATATAGAGTAAAAATATTACAAAATATTAAATATTCATAATATCTCAATCATAACTGCCTAAATCGGAATAATAACCTAATGTCTTTTTACCTTCTCTCTTAAAAGATAATAAAATCTCTTAATACCCAATTTAAATAAAAGATAATAAAGTAATATTCCCAACAGGAAGTGCCCCAATTTATGGCACTTAAAACATTCAACAGTAGCCTTATTGAATGAATGTCTCCCTCATCCCTTACTGTGACCACCTCTGGGTACACCATGACCTCTGCCCCGTTGAGAACGATCATCATAATTATACCTACGATGGACTTCCTCTTGAGTTGCCTTTAACACGTGTTCCTCCTCATAGACTTCCTGCATTTGTTGTTCATGCACAAGAAGACTTCCATGCAACTCATCAATAGACAATTTACTGATGTCATTTGATTATTCAATTACACAAACTACGTAATTAAATTTTGAGGTAGCGAACGTAGAATTTTACTCACCACACTGCTTTGCTCCAACACCTCTCCATTTGATTTCATTTTACTCACCACGGTCATAGTGCGACCAAGAAAACTATCCACTTTCTCTCCATCTTTCATGATGAGTAGTTCAAATTCTCGTTGTAGTGCTTGAAGTTGTGCACGCTTAACTCTTGTAGAGCTCTGATACTTCTGCCTCATAGAATCCCAAATTGCTTTGGATGTGCTTTTGTCAAGTACAGTTTCCAAAATTTCTCTATCAATAGATTGAAAAAGGAAATTCTTGACTCTCAAGTTTTTAAGTTTTGCCTCATTCGCCTCCTCAATAGCCCTTCTTTTGGGTCTCTTCATCTCTGATCCAAAACTCAAGGCAGGTGTGGTTATACCATCTTCTACCAACTGCTATAGCTCCTTGCTCCGAAGAAAATTTTCCATAGTCATGGACTAAAAATCGTAATGGGCATCAAACTTTAGAATGGAAGATTGCACAAACGGTTACTCTAGATTGGACATGATGAGATGCGTACAAACAAAACTTAAGGTTTTACTCAAAATGAGATTGAACTCCTCCGTTCTCTCTTTACTGTACTCTCACTATTTTTTTCACACGGTTCTTGGATTATCAAACCCTTACGGGGCTCTAATAACAATTGTAGAATTAGATATATGATACTATAGAATATAGAATAAGTGAGAAAATATACTTTCATACATTTATTGACCAAACACATACAGCTTTTATAGAGCCAAAGTACAGTAGAAATAACTAACTAACCACATCTACAATAGAGTATAATCCTGAAAAATAAGAAAATATTTTATTAATTATTTCCTAAAATTTAGGAACAGATAACAGCAAAAATAAACAAACCTAACAAATATATATATATATATATATATATATATATATATATAATATAATATAAAAAAACTTAATTATTATTTTATCTATAATTTGTAATAAATTATATAATCTTATAATAAAAGTTTAATCTAAAACTGTAATATACTGTAAATAAAAAATAATTAAAAAATTATAAATATATGATATTATATTAAAATATAATATCCTGAATTTGGTTTTTTATTTTTATTTAAAAATTGAAAGAAAATTAATTTAAGAAAAAAATTGAATAAATAAATAATTTTGATCATTTTTTGTATTTTTTACCTCATTTTTTATCTAATTAAGGAAGAAGAAAAATAGTATTACGCACGCTTACTAGTTTGAATTTTGTTTTAATCTATAGTAAATTTCTTTTATATCTATTTCTTACATTAATAAAGGTTATTTTGCTATCTAATTTATACTAGTAATCAAGTTTATCCTAACATCCACTTCGTCTCAAACCTTAACTAGGAACCATATAAAGCCAACAACAAAGTGACTTCATCAAGCAGTCAAACATTTAAAATAAGTCAAAGGTAGATCAAAGTTAATAGTCAACTTTAACATACAAGCCTATTGATGTATAAATTTCGAGACTCTTATCATAGAATTGTATATTGTGAAGATGATGAGATTCTAATTTGTCTTATATTTTCATTTGGGTGTTTAATTGAATTTTATATTCTTTGGCTTTTTTGGGTTGTACTGCAAATCTTAATTTATTTTTAAATTATAATGTATTTTGTTTATATTTCTTGATTAGGCCATAACTTGAATTTCGATCATACATTGATGAGATATTAATACCTATTAAAAAAATTATATATTATGAAGATAAAGATATCAAAACAACATCAAATAACAACACCAAAATTTTTCTAAAATAATTTATTCAACAACTTTCACGAAAATACTGGAAGCCAAATCATCCAAATAGAGGTCTAACAATTGATGAATGTATTTTACTCTAACATTTAGCTAGCTTTATGGGAATAAATTGTAATTAGCCTAATTAACATAATGTGAGCTTATATTTCGAGCATAGACTTTAGTTAATCCAAAGGAAATTTTATAAATACATCTCTTTATTTAGTAAAAATAAGTAGATTCTTCATAGAATTTTGAATTATAATTTTGTTCTCATTTGCGATCTAATTTCTCTCCACTCATTATTGTTTTCTTTCCTCTTTTTTTTTAATCATGATAAGTGAAACTTTCATGGAAAAGATAAACACTTTGGACCATTTCTCTTATAGATTTATGTTGTAGGTCTTTATAATTGACTTAAAATTATATTTTTTATTCTTGGTTTTATTTCTTTCTGTACTAATCTTCTTTTGGATTTTTGAATCTTGATTATAAATCTTTTTGAGTTTGTGTGCTTTTTATCATCCGAATATGAATTTACATTCTCAACAAATATTGTGAAGGCTTGATTTGACGAATTCTATCAAGTATTTATAGTGTCTAATGCTTAGTCATTGGCTTGATCAAGAATCAATTTAAAAATTGATTTGGCAACTTAAAAAATGATTATCTATTTCAAATTAATTAAATCTTGATGCTTAATTCAGCACAACATTATCTTGAAATTATTAATGAGTTAATTTCAAGATCAAATGATAATTAAAACAATAATTGAAATCAAATGTGGGTATAGTTTTTATAAGGATAAAAGTATAATTTTGTTAACTATTATAATTAAATGACAAAATACTATACCTCTAGTGTCAATGATCTTAAAATTATATTTTAATAATAGAACGATCTCACGAAATTGGTCATGAACATTTAAATAGTAGGATACTATATATAAGTTATATGAATGATTCTGTCATTGAAGTATAAAGTTAAAAACTAACTAACTCTAAATTATATACCATTTTATCATTAAATTATAATCATTAAAACCTAATTATACTTTTTATACATGAATATAAATGAAAAAAATAAATGAAAATAAATTAAGGAGATCTAATAAGTTATTACTCTTTGTACTTGTTTTTACAGGGACGATAGACAAGAACACAAAGCATTATTTCTTAAATAATCAGGTCTAGCCATAAAGTCGGCATAAAATTACATGGGTTATTTATTGTGCATAATAAACAAACTACAAACGGAACGATAACCATTTTCTAAATACTTCCAGCTGAAGAAGGAAGGTCATAAAGGAAATATAAATAAGGACCATTAAAAAGGAAATCACAAAAACGTTTCCTTCTTGGTCATGCATAGTTAAAAGCAACAAATAGTACAAAAGAGCAAAGAGAATAATGATATCAAAGAAACACAAAATCAGAAAACTATTACACTAAGAACAAAGGTAAGCCCCACCAAGTATGAGTCTGATGCTGTAAGGCCATTTAAAATATGAAGCCTAATAACAGCAGAATTTTTCTGGAAATCAAAATTGTACGCTTCAAACATCCATGATTCACAGGTTGCTGTTCAAAATATCAGCAAGCAGTGAGAGCAAGATAAAGTTGGTGGGGCTGTGGTTACCAATTTTGTCCTGATATGTGAACGTGGCGAAGCTTCAGTAACCGACCAAGATAGAATATCTAATGGGGTTGTAGTTATCAGTTCAGGAGAAGAAAGAAAGACAATAGGATTCTCTAACTGTTGGAACTTTCGCACTGACTCGATTCGAAATGAATGTGAATTGAATCAGGCAAGAGAGTTGTAAGGTTAAAAAAGTTTCTTTAATTGTTCAATATTAGAGTTTATTATAGTTCTCCGACACTAACCAAGAGAAGGACTCATAAAGAAATGCTGATGCTGATGCTAATCTTACACATGATTTTAATCTTAACCATTCAGAAGAAGGGCCTCATGGGACAAGAGGGAGAGGAAGAACCTGGTCCTGTGTTGTTGTTATCTTGTTGTGTCTGAGAAGAAGCACCAGCATCATGATGAAACTCTTGATGATTTGGATTCACAAAGGGAAGTTGTGAATGCAAAAGAAGATTATTGTTGGGGTACAAATCATCCCACACAGGACTCCCAGGACCCCAACCTGCAGGAATTGCATTGAACCACTCTCCCCAAACCAATTCCTGAGGCTGTGAAACTCCTTCCTCGGTTTCAGCATTCTCTTCTGCTAATGTCTCAGTCGGTGGCATGTCCTCACTCTCAGTCTTGGTCTCTTCTGGAACTGGCTCAGGTAGTTTTGTGTTCTGGCTAGATGTTGATGTTGAACCGTCGTTGGAAGAAGAAGCAGGAGCAGATATGGATGGTTCTACTTTATCTTTGTTAAGGAAGAGTTCGGGAAAATTGAGCTTAGCATTTTCTCCTCTAAGCTTAAAGGCTTCACGATCATAAGCCATAGCAGCATCTTCAGCAGTGTCGAAGGTGCCAAGCCATAGGCGAGTTCTATTGCGAGGGAGACGAATTTCCGCGACCCATTTCCCCCAATGACGTTGCCTCACTCCCCTGTAGAGCTTGGTGGCATTCAAAGGCTGTGCTTGAGGCCTTAATGTTGGTCTCCCTTCATGCCCCGACCGGTTCATCATCATCATCATCATCCTCCCTCTTGGACTCAAATTCAGTGCATCATTCCAATACTGCAGAAGCTGCTGCTGCTGTTGATACTGATGATGATATTGTTGTTGGTTTGGTGTGGTGGAATCTGGGCTTAGGAATGGTGGAAACCCCATATTCTGTTGGGGTCCAAAAGATATCATTTGTTGCGGTTGCTGAAGAGGTGGACGAAAAAGTGGCAAGTTTGTGGCTCCAAAGGAGTGTGGGATTGATGGCATTGGGTGTTGAGAGCCTTCAAAAGCGAAAGGAAACACTATTCTTGACGAAGGAGGTTGGCGAGATGGCATAGAGGACGATGATGATGATGATGATGATGAAGGTTGTTGATTGGGGTTTTCGCGTTCAGGGCTGCGGAATTTCTTGAGAGGCCTTTGTGAGAAAGCATCATCAAAAACTGGCTTCCACTGTCTCCTCCCTGAGCTCAAATCCACAGCCTTTCCCTTCTCTTTATCCCAATCTTGGCCTTCACATTCACCAAACACTTTGTCATGATGGGTCTCTTCAACACCCTCCTTGCTTGACTTTCCACCGTTATTCGCCATGACCGCCACCAACAGGTGAGACTGAATTTTGGAGTATGGGCTGTGATTAATTGATCTCCGATCAGAGTCAAAAACAGAATCGGATGGCAAAGGTGGAAATTTTGGAAAGACCCATCAGAAAATGTGTTGTGTATAAGAAAAAATTGAGGAAATGGAGAGAGTGGTATATTGTGTGAAGGTTTATTTGATGGTGGATGTGAAGGTTTGAGTAGAGAAAGAGAAAGAGGAGACAGCAAGTGGTGGAAGCAGAGGAATGGAGGGGGTTTATATGGGAGAAAGCAGAAAGGGGTTGAAATCAAACTTTTTCAAGTTATTGCAGCAAAAGTTAGACAGAATCGGTAACAAGTCTCGTCACTGGTTGGCTACCGTGGGTCCCACGCGCTTCTTCTCTGCTTCAACATCAGGTTCTGACTCACCACCAGTTACGTTGTGAGGTCCGAGGGAAAAACAGTTATTAACTGTTTCTGTCAGTAACATGGTGCGGCAAACAGGAATTTCCCTACTCCATGCTGTCATGTATTGTGAGCACTCTGTTACATCCATTTTCCTATCTTAAAAGCATGAATGTGCTTCAACTTTAAAACTCATCATCAAGTTTGAGTTTTAGGTGTTGCATTAATTGAAAATCAAATTAAGAGAATATAATAAGAAAATAAATTCCTATTCAATGTTGCATTGATTGAAATTTGTGTACAACCTTTTTTTGTTGATTCATCGCTGCATCTCTCTCTTCTTTTCTGGATTTTGCGATTTTTCATTTGATATCAGGGAGCAATTTATAACTACATATGACTATTACATGAAGAAAAAAATTGAAAAAGTGTGTCCCTCAAGTGGATTCATCCCTGGGTCCGACACAGGTGACATGAGATGGGAACCAAACACACGTTTGTGTGGTTTCTCTTTGTTAAAAACCCTACATTATAAGAGACTTCTGGCTTAAGGAAAGACGTGTCAATGTGGCAGCTCTGTGGCACTTGATGAAAAGAAAGGGAAAACATATTAATATGATAACTCACTGTTCTTGCTATGGTTGGTGGAAGTCGAGTGTTTGTGTGAGGTGCTTTATGGGGTCAGATCTAATAATGCTATGCCCGGTTTGTGAATGTGATTCTGTCTTTCAAACCTTGTTTGCCTATTTATGGAAAACGAAGGAATCCCATCTCAGTTCCTAACATGGCGTTTGTGGATTATCTTCATTTTGTAACATGTTCATCATTACTTTGAATAAATTCTGTGCAAAGTCTTGATAAATGACATGAATTCATTATTTATATATGGATTATTTATGACAAGTGAAATTCATTTTGTAATAAAAGATATATTAAAAATGTGTTATTATTTAGAATTGTAAATTAGGTTTGAACAGTTTTACGATGAGTACATGACATGACAGTATAAAAGAATATAACTTTAATAAAAGAAAAAGGATTTAAAATAAAGAATATACTTCAAAGAGAAAAGAGTAAAACTACACGTGTTAATTGCAAAAATAATAACACAAATTTTAGTAACTTTGAAATTTATACACGTGTATTATTTCAATAATGCAATAGTTGACCCAACTAAAAATCTAAGGTAGGGTTAGTTGACACAATTTTATGACTATAGGTTAAAAATCAACCCAACGCATTTTATAATGGGTAACTCATAATTTATAAAGGATAATAGAGTAAATATATCAAGGAGAAAAGGAATTAAAATGAAAGGTATTGAAAATAAGAAGATATACCAAACTTATAAATGAATAAAACAACCATGTTTACTAAAAAAGTTCATATAATAAAATCAATCTATAAATTAATCAAATAATTAAAAGTTAATTCAATTGACATATCATACAAAACACATTAACTACCTTCAAATTCATGAATTATCCAATGTTTGTGGAGTTTAATAAGAAATTTCAAGCTCAATTCTCGATTTCAGTTTCATGAATTATATACTCGACTTAATTAAATTAAAAGGAAAAAAAAACTCTACTATATAATTTGATTTCCTTCTCTCTCTCCCCGTGTTTGTGTTTGTGATGCTTAGAAGGTAGAAAACATCCATATGTTTTGTCTGTCTGCTTTTCTGCTATGAATATTATGTATCCATGCATGCATGTGTATCCCTCAAAGGGTCTTCAAGTAACGTAGACAGGGAAACAATGGCCCAAAGGCTGTGTCGGGAAGACAACACCTTTAATTCCATCACCTTTCAATTACTACCTATTTCCTGATATCTACGATCGACAATGAACTCTTCAATTTAACCATTCTTGTTTTTCCACTAAATTTATATAGAGAAGAGAGACATCCATTCTACATTTTCATAAAAGAAATTTATTTTTTTCTTGTTACTTCATTAAATAATTAAATTTAACTCGTAATACATTTTTTTTAAATTTAGTTAGAGAAATATTATATTTACAATAATTTTTAAAACATATTACACAGAGAAATGTTTTTCTTTATCTACGTAGATAATTTATTTCATATCATACTGATAGAGATAAATAGTAAAAAAGGAGTGTAAGTGTTGTATGTGCATCACCTCTCTAACAATAATTATTTAATTTAATCCTATATCAGATGATAAACTATGTTTGAGGGAGAAATTTTAACTAAGCATGAGCATGGCATATGTTTTGATTGAGTGCACTCAACATGCTTACAATATTCAGTCTAATTGGCATGCTTAAGCATGCTTAATTAATATTTTGACTTTGAGCTTTCGTATATACTTTTCTCAGATTGCTCTCGATTATTTATTAAATTTTTTTCACAATAATCTTCATAGCCAATGAAGGACTGAGTAATCCAAATTGGGATTTATAAAAAAAAAAAAAAAAAAAAAAAAAAAAAACATCAATAGTTGATTAGAAGGGATTAACGATAAATTAATATGCTAACTTCAAATTTGTTTTATATGCTTGAATAAACATTGATAGCTATTTTTTCATGAGAAATTAACATTGTTTTATAACTCAATTTATAGGAGTTTGGTCCTCATAATTATCTTCTCCCACATTCTCAAATATGAGAGATTACGTTGTGTCTATATACTTTTACACAATTTCATATATTTTTGTCTCACTATAACTTTTTTTATACTCCAGATTGTTCGAATCTTCGAAAGTTTATGCAATCATCTTCCCTATCGTCAAATCATACACCTTCTTTTGCAAGATACAAAAGAAAATAATACGAAAGGTCGGTTAACACATGCAAGCAATTACATGATTTACTCTTAATCTGATGAATATAATAACTTTATCTATCATGATTGTAGATGATTAATTACTATAATCTGATTATAAGTTTATTTAATTATTTATCGTGATCGATCACATACTTATCAAATTGACTAAACTAATTAAAAACTTGGTTGCAGCTGTTTCTATCAAGAACAGCTTTGAAGAAGACAAACAATAAAGACCCAAATCTCAAAACTCATGTACGAAATCATCATAAGATCATCTTCCCATTATAACAATGAATCCTGCGAGCATGTCTGTTGAAAAGGAAAATAAAAAGTATTTTGAAATGGTCAAAGTCAAACAAATACATGAAGAATATGAGTTTTATTTTTTATTTTTAATCTTCTTTGAGATTAACAATTTGAGTGGGTTAACTATACTGTGTGTGAGGTAAGACAGTGGAATTTTGTGTCTGGTAAAGGATCCACGTAATGCTCTGTCTTTTCACTTTCGGTGCAATGCAAAGAGTTTCAAACAATACGCTCTCAGATATGGTTGTCGTTACAAAGTAACCACCACAAGAGTGTCCCTCAAAAAACAGGTCGGCGATAATCCGCACGCGTGGGCTCCACACTAAATCTCTATCATTTTGTTCTTCGACTATAATAATATTTGTGTATATTGTGATTAATTTTATTTTTCTTCGCCAAAAGCCCTATCTCCTAAATTTAGATGGCATCGCATGAAACTTCTTTACATATGTTTCAGAAAAAAAGAGGGAGCTAATATCTGGTTTCATTTTCAGTGATGAATAATCTCCTTTAATTTTCAGGTCTATATATATCTTCGTCATTTTAGATTTTAGGTTAATGATGTTTGTTACTTTAGTGTTCAGAGATTAGGTAACGCGATTAGCATAAATAAAGAATATGAGTACGTGATTTATTTATTTATTTATTATGTTTAACTTTTTTTAAGATGTATTTTAGGTAATTTATAATCTAATATATCTTGTAGATCAGTTTAACCTCTCTCGATCTTTAGTATATTCAGATGACGAGACAAATATGATAAACATAGAATATACATAGAATATACGATTATAAATACCGTATCAGGCCATGATTCTACATGATTATTTTTTCCATATTTAGCTTGACATGACAGCGATGCACATTAATTTCATATCTGTTAATAGACAAATTTAGGATGCCGACTATAATGGTTAGCGTAATTATAGCCTAGAACGTTTCTGTATTTCATGTATATATTGTGCTATCATATTCAATACAAGGCAGGGTTTTCGGAAATATTTTATCATGGTATCGAGCTAACCAAACTCCGATATCCAATGACTCGAGAACACGATCGTACTTCTAAAATGGCGAGAGAGGAGAAGCGGTGAAGAAAACACCATCGCCATACGATCTGAGTGCCGGTGATAATCCTGGAAATGTGATTACACAGGTACAATTACGAGGAGAGAATTACGAGGAATGGGCAAGAGCCGTGAAGATATCTTTACGGGCTCGAAGGAAATGGGGTTTCATAGATGGAACTCATAAGGAACCCGAAGAAGACACATCCGAGATAGAAGATTGGTGGACAATTCAATCGATGCTTGTATCTTGGATACTAAACACTATAGAACCTAGTTTGCGTTCCACTTGTTGCATACATGGAAAACGCAAAGGACCTATGGGATGACATCAAGGAACGATTCTCGATCGTGAACGGACCAAGAATCCAGCGAGCTAAAGTCGAGTTGGCGAGAATGCAAACAACAAGGAATGACTATGGTTTCCTATTATGGGAA